GAAATAGGCTCGACTATTCTAAGATGGCATATGAGATGCGACAATTCGATGCATGTATTCAAGCAGGAATTGAAATACAATGTAGTTAGTATAATGCGCCGAGCCCGGTGCATGCAATACAGATGAATGATGCAAACATGCATAGCATAACGATTCTAAATGAAATATGCCCTAAAACTAACCATCGTAAGCGGTTAAGTAAAAGGGAGAAAGAGGTGAGGTTGGAAGACATGCATCACACACACGCACGCTTATTACAAAATTATGCCCTCTCGACGGAGGGTCCGAAAGAATAATACAAATCAACTAATTAATCAACTAACAAGCTAATTAATTATTACACAACTCTTAACTAATTAAACAAATTAATTGAGCTACAAAAACAGTAAAGCGGCCTCGATAAGAGGGACAAATGCATGCTCGATCAGCTTCGCTCAGAAATCCGTTGCCATGCCTCATGTTGCCTCTGTTTGTACTATTTTGCACCTCTGAAAACTGTGAAAAGCCCTGTGATGCTCTAGAACCACTTCATGGACATGCTGAGAGGCCATCGACCAAAATAAAGGTGTCGTCGACCATTTATGAGGTCATCGGCCAAACACTTTTAGCCGATCGGCACACCAGATAGCCGGTCGGCCATCTTTTCTTACAAAATGTTATTTTGTTGCAGCAGAGGACAAACAGAGGTATGACAATACATTTGTAAGAAAATATTTGTAATTACACCCCTTATCATGTTTAACGATGAAAGGTGTGTAGTTCTCGACCCTCAGGCCACCAATCACGCATTCCAATGCATGATGGCCAAAGGAGCCAAGTGTGCAATTCGATGTGGGATGAATGTACAAAATCACATAAGAGACCTCAACCTCTATCATCTTTGATCAAGAGGCAAGGCATGCACACACAATGCTATGCAAACATGCAAGCATGATGCGATGAAATTAGCATGCAACATGTAATGGAATTAGCATGTAACAACATACAATGTATCAAGTATGCAACAAGCATGCAACAATATGCAAATCAAGCATGCAACAACATGCGAAAATGGGCTTAAACTAAAATGAATAGCTCTCAAACATGCCCAAATTAGTGGCCAAAAGTGTTAAAATGATGGTACCAAAATGCAAAACAAACAAGCATGCCAATTGGCCCATAAGCTAGGCAACAAGACACAACTCTCAAATATGAGAATGTGGCAATGTAATAAGCTCTGAAAATATGTGAGGAATGATGCCAAATCAACCAAACAAAGCAAGTATAGCATGCAAGAAAGCCTAAAGCTTAAGGCTAGCCGAGGGACTCAAACCATGGCTATGCAAGGCAAGCCCCAAAGGGCCATGGGCACCCAAAATAGTCCCAAGGCAGGTGAAGATATGGCCAAAAACAAGCTTAAACTTAGCCAACACAAGCTAGAACAAAAGTCCAAAAGCGTGAGGCATGCAAGGCTACAAAAGAGGTGTTATACTACATCTATCAAAACCAAACATTGCATGACTTAACCAATGAAAAACAAAGTTATGGCATGGTAAAACAAGGCCAAAATCCCACTTAGATGGCATTCCAAAGACCTAAGCATGGAGGCATGCACAATGATCCATTCATGAGACATAAAACATCAACCTCCAAATGCATGGAGAAGATAACAAATGCAAGTGTATGGTCACACTTCATGGATTGAAATCTCATATGGAATGATGCCAAATAATAAGAACAGTCCTAGCAATGCATACTAATGACTTGGACACTGACAGCCAACAAGCTAGGTTGAACCATGGTTATACAAAACAATGTAAGCATGACCAAAACAAAACCAAACAGACCTTAAGCATGGTAAAACAAGGCTAAAAGTTTCTTTGGGTCAAGCCAAAATCATGCTAAAAACATGGTCTAAAGCACAAAGCATGTTAAGGCAATTTCATGGAAATGCACTACAAGTGCATGAGGCATGCAATGTCTAACCAAACCAAACCTAAACAGAGGTATGACATGGTAAGACAACACCAAATACATGTTGAAATGGACACAACATAGGCTAGAATGACATGCTACTTCATGAAGCATACAAGACTAGTGTGTGCAATTTGCACTACAAGTGTATAAACCATGCATGGAGCGATCAATCGAAGCAAAAACAGGGGTAAGCCTCAGCAAAATAACCACAAATACATACTAATATACAAGCTAAAACAAGCCTAACAAACATGCTCACACATGAGGCATTCAAGGCAAGTATTGAAGACGGAAGGAGAAGGGATGCCCCTCTTTTTTTTGGTACCTTAAAACACCATCCCCACCACTTCAGTGGTGAGAAGGCCAAAACAAGGTGATCCTGAAGCTCACAAAGAAGGCATGAAAGCGAGGCCAAACAAGGCCTAAGGGGGGGTAAACAATCCCAAACCAAAAAGTAACCTTAAACAAAGGTCTTAAGCATGCAAAATCAGAACTTTTTGTAGTTTAGAGTTAAGTTTAAAACAATATGCAAATAGGTCTAAAAGCTTAAGCAAGAATGGGGGTTTAAAAGCAAGAAGCTTACCCTTGAAGAACACCTTCAAGAACACTACTCCAGCATCCTCCTCTGGCCAAAACCAACTCAAGAACACTAAAAACAACCCCTAAGGAACTTAGCAACCAAAGGATGGTGTTTTACTAGGTGCTTGTGTGCAATAGTAAGACAAAAAGATACTTTAGAGCACAAAACAAGGATCAACAAGGAGATATAGGTACAAATGTATATCTATCTCTCAAGACTCCATTTTCTGAACCTCTGAGAAGGGAGGAGGGGCTCCCTTCTTATAGAATTCCAATTCTCAAGCTTCTTGAGCAAGCTTGAGTCTTGAAACAAATCCCTCCATACACGTGTATGGAGGATGTGAATTGTGGATACCAGCTGTCACAACTAGGAGAAAATATTTGCAAAAAGCAGATGGAAAGGTCTCGGCTCAAAAATATGGCCGATCGACCGACATAAGTGCCGACCGACCAAAAGGAATGCAGAGTGCCGATCGGCCAACATTTTTGGTCGATGACAAGAACACAAGGCCGATGGCATCATGCTTTGGCTGATGGGTTGGGGGGATGGCCAACAAGCCACCCTCTTCCCTCATAAGCAAAAACACAAGTGTTTGGTCCATAACCAAGCACAAAACAGACAAGTTGAGTAATCCTAAGGCAAGGCGCACGGCCGAGACCTCCGGGAACTCAAAACGAACACGAGCATGGATGATCATCGAGTGTTCAAACGATGATGTCCAAATCTTGAGGACGCTCAAAAATGGGGTGTCTACAGTTGCCCCTCTTTGATAGAACTCGAAAGTCATAAAATGACTAGAGTGAATGTCAAAGCCCAGAGAGGATCCATTTTTTACAAGGCCGAAGACTTAGACAAGCATACAAGATAATAAAGATATGCACCCGCAGGCAGGGGCAAGATGCAAAGGACATGCACGATGCAGAGCATAACTTATGATCATACAAAGAGAGTTGTAATGAAGAATAATATGCAATAGTTTAAGCAAGCAAATAAGAATCGAACTACATTACATGCAGAAAGGATGTAACAGAATTATAAAATTCTCGCTCGTCTCACGCGGAGGACATACAATACCGTCTGGTTCGTCTGGTCGCGGCAGCTTCAAATGAACCATACATACAATATCGTGCCTGCAAAAGAACGAAACTTAATAGGTACAATATCGTTAGAAACATGCATAGCAATACTAGTGAAAAGTGTATAACAATGCAAGTAGAACGTGCGAAACAACGGAAGTTAGATGAAGGTGCGAAACAACGCAAGTTAGATGATATGCAAAACAATGCAAATAACGAGCGAGACAACGCAAGTTATAGATGATATGCAAAACAATGCAAATAACGACCGAGACAACGCAAGTTATGTAAGGTGCAAAATAATGCAAATAACGAGCGAGACAACGCAAGTTATAGATGATATGGAAAACAATGCAAATAACGAGCGAGACAACACAAGTTATATAAGGTGCAAAACAATGCAAATAACGAGCGAGACAACGCAAGTTATAGATGATATGCAAAACAATGCAAATAATGAGCCAGACAACGCAAGTTATATAAGGTGCAAAACAATGCAAATAACGAGCAAGACAACGCAAGTGATATATGATATGCAAAACAATGCAAATAACAAGCGAGACAACGCAAGTTATAGATGATATGCAAAACAATGCAAATAACGAGCGAGACAACGCAAGTTATAGAAGGTATACAAAACAATGCAAATAACGAGCAAGACAACGCAAGTTATAGATGATATGCAAAATAGTACAAATAACGAGCGAGACAACGCAAGTTATATAAGGTGCAAAACAATGCAAATAACGTGTAAAGCAAAGAAGGCATAAAAAAAACACATGTAAGTAAAGCATGCGCGACAATGCGTACAATGTGTGAAGCAAGAAAGAGATGTGCATGACAATGCAAGCATGGTAGAGGTACGCTATTCGCGATGCTGAGATGCAACTTCAGAGCAAAGATGAGGCATGCTAAATGCAAGAGCGAAAACACGTATGACAAGCATGCTTATTAAAAACATGACAAAACATTGTAATGCAACATATTTAAAGTAATTTTTGAATCTCGCAAGATACAAAAGGATACGGAAAAGGATACACCTTGCGCGTACCGAACATCGCACACGAAAGACACGGTTCGAGGTCAACACAGAGGCCGGTTAAGCTTCAAAAATGTACTTTCTTGCATTTTCTTGAGGAATGAGGGTTCCAAACAACATAACTGACCCAAACAAGGGTATTTGAAGTGCATCGGCCACAAGGGGAGGCTGTCGGCCATCTATCAGCCATCAAATGATATCATCGGCCAAATATTTAGCCAATCGGCTAACAATTTGGCCGATCGGCCAAAAATGACAATTTCGGGGCAGTTTTGTCTTTTTGCCTTGGGTCTTTTAAATATAAGGTTCCAAACCCTATATTCTCACTTCTCCAAGCTCGAAAATCATTCCTTTCTCTCTCTAGGTGATTTCCCAACCTTAGGTCCTTGTTTTTCTCTTGTTTTCGAGCCTCTCCCATCGTTCGATTCGCGAAACCCTTTCCGTTTCACACACTTTGAACCGAACGAAACACATTCCCGGTGTCACATTCTCGATTTCCATTAGTTGGGGTTTTTTTTCCCTGAGTTACCCTCGATCTTTGTGCCTTTTCCCAAACTCTGACCGTTTCTCCAATTTTTCACCCCTCGGGGTTGTCTTTTGGGTTGACTTTTTGCGTTTTCACCCATTCTTCACACTTTCGGCCATTTTCGCACTCTTCTTGAGATGGAGGACGACATTCCACGAGGTGGGACTCTCCCAGAGATGGATATGGACCCCGAGGTCGAGCTCCTACCTCTTCGCATTCGACCATTCGACCCAACGACCTACCGGCCAGCGATACACGTGTTGCCTCCCGATGGCATCCGCCACTTTAGAAGCTACACACGAGGCGCGCCACTGGAGCTCTTGCTACGCGAGCCAGAGTCACACCTATCATTCGGCGCCGCCGAGGTATATTCTTCCCCTCTTTACTTTTTGCAATGTAGACTGTATAACTTCGATAGTCGATACTGTTCTTTAACTGAATAACCCATACACATTGATACATCATATGCTTAGTTCACCATGAGCACACCCGCACCTGACATCTGTTTAAACTTGAACACATGCACACACACTGCATATTCAACTGAATAGCACAAATACACTGATACATCATATGCTTAGTCCACCTAGAGCACACCCGCACCCGACATCTGTTTAAACTTGAACACATGCACACACATTGCATATTCAACTGAATAACCCAAATACACAGATACATCATATGCTTAGTCCACCTAGAGTACACCTGCACCCGACATTTGTGTAAACTCAAACGCATGCACACACACTGCATTTTCATCCACTCTGAACGCATTTGAACACTGTATTTCTAACATTGGTTCACCACTGTTTGTTTTGAACACAGAGAGATTCTCATGCCTTCCGGAGGCATGGGAACACCATCGCCCGAGGTTGGTACATGGAGCTGCCCGATGCAGTTCATCAAACTGTTGATCAAGCCGGCCTCGGCATTTTCTGTAGGGGACTCTCGCGCCTCACTGCGAGTAGGCCCCTTCTGGGCACAATAGTGGAGAGGTGTTGGGACACCACCGACTCCTTCCACCTTTCTGCTACAGGGGAGATGACGATGACCCCCTTCGACTTCTCGATGCTTACCGGCATCGAGGTAGGGGGTGATCCGATCCCTTTCGATACTGATATGGATGAGTGGGACGCTGCCCAGATCTAACTGCTCGGCGCTCAGTTACCTCTCCCGTCCAGGATTCGTGAGGTACTCTTGGTTCGAGGACCACTTCAGGATTCAGGCACCTACGACCCGGGATGAGGTGGGGCAGTATGCTCGTGGCTTCATCATGTTCCTACTGGGGACCACCCTCTTCGCCGACCGGGCGAAAACCGTTGCCCTCTACCTGCTGAGTGCACTTGTGGATGTGACGTGAATCCGCCGCTACGACTGGGGTGGTGCAGGCTTGGCCACGCTCTACGGATACATGAGCTCATCCTCTCGTTGTAGCGGATGCTTGCTCGGAGGTTACTGGCGAGCTTGGGAGGTATATATTCCCTTTCTGTTTTACAATTCTACTTTACTCTATCTGTACACCACACACACTACACACACGCAATCTGCTTTACACTGGCTGTACACTGCACAATACACTGCACACACTGCACATTTACTACATAATACACTGGCTGTACACTGCACACATTCTCTGATTTCTGCTTTATTGCATTCTGCTTTGTCAGATAAGCGTACTCACTGTTACTTTGCTACATTCTGTAGTTGTGGGTGTATGCCTACTTTCCGAGGCATGCGGCATGCCCCAGTGCCAGATGTGGAGATGCCCCCCCCATGGTTCCATGCTCTCATCGATACAATGTGAGGTGTGAGTGGAGGCCTAGGGAGTCTTTCCTGTTCTTCCGCCGATACTTCGACACCATTACCGCCGCAGAGGTATTTCAAACCTTTCAGTTCATTTAAGCTTCTCTTTACATTGTACTTTCGATAACAGATAACAAACTGTATGTCCTGTCATTTGCAGATCACCTGGCAGCCCTGGGCGATGTTGCCTGATATAGTGAGAGACAGATATATGGGTGCTCGGGAGACTGCCCGATTTCAGATTCTGCTGGAGAGCCCAGTCTGCCGGGCATGGTACTTTGGGGAGCGCTTCCTACGGCTGACCCTCGGTTTACTAGAGCAGATAGTCCCCAGGCCGCCTCCTACCCATACGAGGGCTACCGAGAGGTACACCCCAGAGGAGATGACGGATTACACGATCGGCTGGGATTCAGACCTTTTCCAAGCTAAGGGCGACTACGCCGAGTTCATCCAGACCTACCTGATACGGCCTCTGATTGGTGCTCGCCGAGTCGAGAGAGAGACCTGCGATGCCAGCGGCAGGAGCAGGAGCACCGAGGGCAACTCAGGCCCGTGGCAGGAGTGGGTCCCGGAGGGGACGGGGAGCTGAGTGGCCAGCACTGCCTACCACCATGACATGCTGAGGGCAGGGTGGGGAGACTTATCAGATACCCATCGCTCCGAGGGCTGATCATGAGCTCGTTGGAGTTCACGGCTCGACCCCGGTATGTACTGCTAGATTTTGCATTCTGTACAATCATTTCAATTCATTTGATATCCCGCAGAATACTAATTACTTCAATACTTTTGCAGGTTTCCATCGAGTACACTAGCCAGTCTCTGGAGTTGACGGCCTCAGTGATGGGGATGTTGCAGAGGAGCCTGGACCTACTGACCATTTATGGTATCCCGGTAAGTTCTTTCAACCTCAGTCCCAAACTTTGCACACTCTGTTCCATACATGATCTGATGCATTGCATTTATGGATACGGCACTTGATACACTGCACTCACATACCACTCATGACACTAATACACTGTAACTCACAGCATTCATACACTGCACTCGGCCTCCCGGCATTCATACACTACTCATAGCATTCACACATTGTACTTACACATTGCTCACAACATTCATACACTATACTCATGCACTGCATTTGGTATTCATACCCTGTTTTGCATAGCATAACTAATGCATTTGCCATTTGTTCTTTTCAGACCCCATTCCAGATATCGGCCACATGGGGTGCTCTAGCTGGACCATCTGTACCTGCCCGAGGAGCTAGGGGAGCCAGGCGCGGGATGATTATACATAGTCGGGGCAGACACAGGCGCACCCATGCTGAGAGCAGTTCGTGGGAGCCTACTCCAGACGACAATGAGTCAGATGAGGAGGTAGAGTCGTCTCAGGGTGAGGCCGAAGACAGTTCAGACAGCGGAGATGATGGCGGTGATCCTGGACCTTTGTCTAGGAAGAGGACGAGGATGGACTCCCGTGCTTGAGGCGATTGATGTGGATCTAGACATTTTGCTGTTTTTCTCCTTTTTGCTTTGTTCAGACATTTTGTTGCTTCCCCCCCCCCCTTTTTTATTTTCTTTTTTGCTTTATTTTCCTTTTTGCTAGCAATTTGGGCACATTGTACTGCCTCAGGCAAGTTTTGCTTTCCTCAAAACTATGTACTTTTCGCAAAAGAAACAAAAAACATGAATGGAATGAAACAGCTGTTTTGTTCAAAAAGTGTTACATTTGTACATTCTATGCATCGTATCGCATCGCATCGCATTACATAACAATGTAAATGAGATTGAACTTTGTTTTAAAAACCAAACAATTGAATTGCATTAATCAGGTAGTGAGCCAACTAACGACAAAACAACTCGATAGACAAAATAAAAAACTCGACAAGTTAACCAAATGTAATTACGACTCAATAAGCAAAACACAGACTTAAAGAATACGAAACAAAACTCGATAAGCAAATTGAAGTAACACAGGCATGACTTCGCAAAATCATCACCGAAAGGCACTTGAAGTGGAACCAGTCACAAGTTCTCAACATATTAAGCATTTAGACAGCTGTAGACACCCAATTTTTGACCGTCCTCAAGACTTGGACGTCACTGTTTGAACACTCGGTGATCATCCTTGTTCGTGTTCGTCTTGAGTTCCCGGAGGTCTCGGCTACGCGCCCTACCCCAGGATCTCTCGACTCGACTGTTTTGTGTCTGGTTTTGCACCAAACACTTGTGTTTTGCCTTGGAGGGGCAGGGAACGCCTTGTGAGGCATCCCCACACACCACCGGCAGTGGCTAGAGGCCACCGGCTGGTTTTTGTTTCCATCGGCAATGTATGTGGCCGGTCGGCACTCTTTGTTGCCGGTCGGCAGTCATTTTTGTCAAAATGACATTTTTGGCCAGCCGACTACTGTTCATCTGCTTTTGCAGATATTTTAGGACAGCTGTATGGCTTTTTGTTCCCCTCCATACACGTGTATGGAGGGATGGCTTCCTTGTTAGCTTACCTTGTAAGCTTTACAAGATTGGCTCCTTTATAAGAGGAGCCCTCCCCTCTTGGCTTTAGGGTTGGACATTTTAGAGATAAAAAATACAGAGAAGAGCTCTAGTTTTAGGGTTAGGGTTTGATACACATTTTCTCTCTCTTTTTCCCTCTTGTGTGTGTCTAGGTGCATTTGTGTCTTACTATTGCACACAAGCACATAGTATTACACCTTCCCTTGGCTACTGAGGTTCCAAGAGGTTGTTCTTGAAGTTCTTGGGTGGTTTTGAGCTTGAAGAACCAGCTGGTCTACCATTTTTGAAGAAAGTCTTCAAGGGTAAGAAACTTGCCTTTATATTCCCCATTTTTGCATTGCTTTTCTACCTATCTTAGAGCTGTTTTTGTGCTTAGTGTATAACATAAAAAAGTTCTGTTTTTTAGCCCTTTTGATTGTTTATTAAGAGTGTTTTGTGGTTTGGAGGAGTTTGACCCCTCTTAGGCCTTGAAAGGCCCCATTTTGTGCTATTTTGAATGAGCTCCGGGACCTTGATGTTGGGCCTCCTCACCACTGAAATCTTGAGGGATTTCAGAGGTGAGGATGGTGCCTTGAGGTCCTAGGGAGGAGAGGGCCACCCCCTCTCCTTGTTGTCCTTGAAAAGGACCATTTTTGGCCTCTTGAGGGAGCACCTAGCTAAGCTTCATGTTGATCATGCCTTCGCTGTTTTTTGTGCCTATTATGTCATAATATGCCTCTGTTTATTATTGGTTTTGGTACACCATGCATGCTTAGCATACCTACCTTGTAATGCCACTTTATTGCCTTAATATGCCTTAGGTTGTAAACCCTTGTTCTAGCATGTTTTAGGCTTAGCTTTGTGAAGCTTTTGTGCATATTTTGCCATGTTTAAGGTCTGTCCTAGGTTGTTTGGGTCGGATTTGGCATGTTTAGTATAGCCCCTTTGCATTCCGACTTGTTAGCCTTAAGTGTATGAATGTATGGCATGACATTCTTGCATTGATTTAGTTGTTTGGAACTATCCACCCTGTCATTTCAGTCCCCTTTGCATGCCTATGTGTTTGCCTTGGATGTCTCTTTGATGCTTTGAAAGCTTGTGTAGCATGTTCCATGTTTTGGCCATTGTACATGCCTTTGAATTTGAGCCACTTAGATGCCATCTAGGGGGTCCCCTTTGCATGGTCTAGGTCTGCCTTGAACCTATTTTAAGTCCTCTTAGCCTTGTGCGGCTTGGTTGGCTTGGTCATAGTTCAAGCCTCTTTGACTTGCTTCAAGTACTTGGGCCATTTATTGCATGCTTAGTCTATTTTGTTCGCTTGGTTTGGCACCATCTTAACATGATTTTCATTGTTTATCGTATATGTCATATGTCCATGATTGCCTCTTTCAAGTGTGTTTGAGAGTTGTCCCATTTGTGCCTAAGTGTTGGCCCCTTTAACATGTGCATGTGTGTTTGTGTTTAGTCCTTTATTTTAGTCACTTTGGCCACTGCTTTGGGCCTTATTAGAGTTGCCCAAATCATGTTTAAATCCATTATTTGGTTGCTTGCATGCTTACCTTGCATGTTTGTTTGCATGCTTGCATGTGCATCTTGCATTTCCATATTGCATCCTTAGCTCGTATGCCTAGGTTGCATTGCATTTAGCATGCATGTCTTGCTCCTCGATCTAGTGATAGGAATTGGACTTTGGTTTGATTGGTTTGCATTGCATTTGACATCAAAATGTGCACACTTGGTCTTTTGGGCCATCACGCATGCAAATGCGCGATTGATGGTCCGAGAACCAAGGAGCATGTCCCTTTGAGTCATTAACATGATAAGGGAAATGATTGGTGCATACATCGCTTGAATTGAATTGCCATGCAAGTTTTGTCCTCTGCTGCTGTGAGTTGCAGGTTCTGCAGGCATTCTTTGCCGACCGGCAGTAAATCACCAGCCGATGGATTAATTTTGTGCCGGTGACCACAATTCACTGCCGGTGGTAATTCTACTCAGCCGGTGGTGATTCCCAGTATCCAGAGAAGCAGCCTTGAGACTTTGGCAGTCTTCAGAGAGGCAGAGCAGGGAAAACAGAGGCAGACTATGCATGGCCGTGCACTTTCCGAGCAGGACCCGAGCATGCGCTGCATCTGGCTCTCCTCCGAGGTGGTTTATTGCTTTTCCTAGTTTAAATTAGTTTGTTAACTGATTAGGCAATTTGTAATATTTAATTAGCTTGCGTAGTTAATTAATTTGTATTATTTATTTGGTCCTCCGGGCGAGGGCAAATCTGTAATAAGTGTGTGAAGTGGTGTGTATGTCTTCCAATCCCACTTCTTTCTTCCCTTTTATTTACCTGCTTTGATGGTATTAGGGCATGTTTAAATTAGCATACCTTATGCTATGCATGCGTGCATCCATACATTTGTCCCGCATGCACCAGGCTCGGTACATCATGCTACTAATTTGTCATTCAATTCTAATTGAATACGTGCATTAATTGGTTGCATTTCACATGCCATGTTTAGGTTAGCCGAGCCTACTCTAATTGCATCTTGCATGTGTTGCATTAGTCAACTTGACATGAACTAGGATCACGCATGTTTGCTAACTAGTTTATTGTTTTGGCACAGAGTACGATGTAAGTATTTTATGCTTTAGCTTCTCGCATGCGTGTGAATGTTAACATGATAGCATGCTTACCATGTGGCTAGATGCTTATGTGATGAACTATTTGAATGCTTGTGGGTGAAGGTTGGATTGTTTGAGTTGAAAAAACTCGTTGAAATTCGTATTTTAGCCTAAAACATCAACCTCCCAATGCATGGAGAAGATAACAAATGCAAGTGTATGGTCACACTTCATGGACTAAAATCTCATATGGAATGATGCCAAATCATAAGAATAGTCCTAGCAATGCATACTAATGACTTGGACACTCAAAGCCAACAAGCTAGGTTGAACCATGGCTATACAAAACAATGCAAGCATGACCAAAACAAAACCAAATAGACCTTAAGCATGGTAAAAACAAGGCTAAAAGCTTCTTTGGGTCAAGCCAAAATCATGCTAAAAGCATGGCCTAAAGCACAAAACATGTTAAGGCAATTTTATGAAAATGCACTACAAGTGCATGAGGCATGCAAAGGCTAACCAAACCAAACCTAAACAGAGGTATGACATGGTAAGACAACACCAAATACATGCTGAAATGGACACAACATCGGCTAGAATGACATGCTACTTCATGAAGCATACAAGACTAGTGTGTGTGATTTACACTACAAGTGTATAAACCATGCATGGAGCGATCAATCCAAGCAAAATCAGGGGTAAGCCTCAGTAAAATAACCACAAATACATGCTAATATACAAGCTAAAACAAGCCTAACAAACATGCTCACACATGAGGTATTCAAGGCAAGTATCGAAGACACAAGGAGAGGGGATGACTGTCTCCTTTTTGGGACCTTAAAACACCATCCCCACCACTGAAATCCCTCTAGATTTAAGTGGTGAGGAGGCCAAAACAAGGTGATCCCGAAGCTCACAAAGAGGGCACAAAAGCAAGGCCAAACAAGGCCTAAAGGGAGGTAAACAACCCCAAACCAAAAAGTGACCTTAAACAAAGGTCTCAAGCATGCAAAATCAGAACTTTTTGTGGTTTAGAGTTAATCTTAAAACAATATGGAAATAGGTCTAAAAGCTTAAGCAAGAATGGGGGTTTAAAAACAAGAAGCTCACCCTTGAAGAACACTTTCAAAAACACTACTCCAGCAGTCTCCTCTGGCCAAAACTAGCTCAAGAACACTAAAAACAACCCCTAAGGACCTCAGCAACCAAAGGATGGTGTTCTACTAGGTGGTTGTGTGCAATAGTAAGACAAAAAGACACTTTAGAGCACAAAACAAGGATCAACAAGGAGATATAGATACAAATGTATATCTATCTCTCAAGACTCCATTTTCTGAACCTCTGAGAAGGAAGGAGGGGCTCACGTCTTATAGAATTCCAATTCTCAAGCTTCTTGAGCAAGCTTGAGTCTTGAAACAAATCCCTCCATACACGTGTATGGAGGATGTGAATTGTGGATACCAGCTATCACAACTGGCAAAAAATATTTGCAAAAAGTAGATGGAAAGGTCTCGGCTCAAAATATGGCCGATCAACTAACATAAGTGCCGAACGACCAAAAGGAATGTATGCCGATCGGCCAACACTTTTGGCCTATGACAAGAACACAAGGCCGATGGCATCATGCTTTTGCCGATGGGTTGAGGGGATGGCCAACAAGCCACCCTCTTCCCTCAGAAGCAAAACCACAATTGTTTGGTCCACAACCAAGCACAAAACAGACAAGTTGAGTGATCCTAAGGCAAGGCGCACGGCCGAGACCTCCGGGAACTCAAAACACACACGAGCATGGATGAACATCGAGTGTTCAAACGATGATGTCCAAATCTTGAGGACGGTCAAAAATGGGGTGTCTACATTGCTGCGCGGTGAGATCTTCATTTCCTTCTTCTTGTAGTGCAAAATCTCCGGCTGTTGGTCGCTAATTATTTTTGAGTCCAGGCCTCCTGGTGTCTCCTTCCCTTTGTTTGTCCGTGGCTTCTGCCTTCTAATCAACTACGCATTTGCTTCTATTCCTTCTCCTTGATATCCTGATTAAGCAAGTTGGGGACATTCTTTCTTAAAATGTCCTAGTTGGTCATACTCATAACATTTGCTCATCCAATTATTAATCATATTCTTACATTCACTTCTAAAAATTGGAGCTTTTGTGACGGTCGTGAACGTCGCAAAAGGTGCACTTGCGGTCACAAAAGACTTTTTGTGACAGAGTAGCGACGGGAAATGGGGGTGACGGAAAAGGGCGTGACAAAAGGTATTTGCGACGATTATAAGCCATCGCTATCTTGTAGCGACGACTAATCAATAGTTTTGCGACGATTTAACCTGACACAAAAGATGAAAAAAAACTTCATTTTTTGTGACGATGTTGATTGTCGTCGCCAAAAACCTTTTTAGCGACGGTATTTGACGTCGCGAAAAGTATTATTACCGACAGTCTACAACGCCGCCAAAAAGGTGAAATTAAATTAATACCGTATTTGCGGCAGTTCAAACCGTCGCAAAAGATTTTATTTGTGACAGTTTGAACTGTCGCAAAAGATTTGAACTAATATATATGTGCAACAAGTTAACCCATCGCTAATAAAATGTAAGCATTAAAATTATTTTAATAAAATCAATACATATTTTATTAATTCATTCCATGTACAAATTATTAATATTTTATAAAATAAAATACATCCACATCTAAATTCACATTCACAGAATTATATACCAAGAATAATATATATGTACCCTGTAACAATTGTCAACCAAATATTCTTTTAAAAAATATATAAAACAACCTCCAACAATACTAATAATTTTTTATATTCAAGAACTCAAATTTTTAGTATCGACAATACAAATAAAAAAAAAAAACATATATTTTATGGCTTGTTTTGATATCAATAGTAAGCTCCAATATCGATATGAGAAGATATCATCCCGTACTCAAAAGGGTTACATCTGCAAAAAGAAACAAAATAAAATAAAATAAAATAAAAAATCATCATTTATAACATAATTAATTTCAAGCTTACAAAAAATATAAAACATTTGATATTTATTTCAATAAATAAATAAGATTGTAAACTCCAATATTGATATGCGAAGATATCATTACATAGTCAAAAGGGTTGCATCTGTAAAAAGAAACCCCCCCCCCAATCCCCCCCCCCCAAAAAAAAAAAAAATTCATTCACAATATAATTAATTTTAAGTTTACAAAAAATGTAAAACATTTGATATTTATTCCAACAAAAACGGCCACATATCTTGTGTTTTCATGGTCAGTGAGTGGTGAGCTACTAGCACCATTTATTTCATACACATATAGCTTAAATTTGTTCACTTCACTATTTGGCGGTTCTTTCCTTCGTCAAAAGTAAAATAAATTTTAAAAAAAAATTGTTCTCTTTTAGAAGAGTTCTTCCATTTAATTTCTATAAAACTTATGTTGGTGTAGAAAATTTCTAATTAGTAAACACTCAATTCAAGTTTTGTAATATTTATTAATCAGCCCTGTCATATACCAAAGCAAATTTGCATGCCTCAAATTATGTAGAAATATCAGTTGCACAAATGCAAGGAAGAAAATTTCAAAGCCTTTGACATTAATCGAAAACGAAGCCAAATTTTACCCCAAAAATCAAAGATCGAAAATTAACTTGCTATGTATTTGTTTCGATCAATTGCTATCAAATACAACTTTAGTTATTGGTAGGGGAGAATTACCTAAATGAAAATTATAAGCAAATCAAACCAAATTAAACTTTGTCACAATTAGATCAGGCTATATGTATCTTTTTTCATAATTTCACTACCTAAAGAATTATGCAGTTAATTAAATTAAAAAAATTATAGAAAAAAATTGTATTTATCAATAATACTAATCTGATGCCACTAACAAGAAGTCTAGTGCTTACCCCAAAAAAAATAGGGAGTCTAGTGAGTGCTCCTTTAATTTGAAGGGACACTGCAAGTGTTCATTGCTTGCATGCTGATTTGGCTTTTTCATTGGGAATGGCCCATTTCATTACCTTCATGTCATAATCATTGTCTTTATTAAAGTTAAAGAAGATAGGGGAAAAAGATAAAATAAGAGCAATGCAAATCCCAAATCTTCCCAAAAGAGTTTAGTTCACTGTTGAGAGAATTCAATTGAATCGTATAGTTGAAATGATTATTACACTAAATGCTAAGGGAGGGAGATTATATGGAATTCGTAATTCATCACAAAGAGCATGAGATTAATTTATAATGTATAATTTTATTAATAAATTATAACAACAAAATATTTAAATCTTTCCACATATATATGTATCCACGCATAAGAAGTTAAATTTGTCCTTACAAACCCCTTTAAATGTGCCATTGGAATGAAATCTAAATTTGTTGTTAGATAATGACCGCAGGTCATGCAATGCATCATGCATGTAATTAAATAATGTACCCTCCAATTATGTGTCAAGATACAGCAAATCTATCATACTTATATCAATTTCATGTCTTATCATCAATCTTGTAAGCTCACAAGAAAAGACTTTCACACACTGTTCCATACATGTTCATATGCTCACATACTAGTTAATTATGTTCATGTACTTTTGACATATATTTAGTGTAAACACTGACCTGAATTTCTTGCAACCCAAGTGCTTTACCAATGATTGTGGCTGTCAAATCACTGCCAGCCCTACCCAATGTAGTCACTGCACAAGATCTCCAGCCCTCTAATCATAATGGTTAAAGAATATCATTACCGCAATCCCTCAAATGGACAAGTTTCAAGCAAATAATGACTCCTTCAAAGTAGAAAACTACAATGGAATTGGAGGCAGGAGGACCTTTCCAAGGCAGCAAGTAACAATAGGAATTGCAGGATCACTAATCCAATCACTGTGTAACCTCTTTGCAACAGCTGGATAAGTTGCTTCCAGAATATCCACATTTGTGAAGTCATATGTTGTTATGAAACCAATATCAAATGCATCATACTGCAAAATGATAGTGTCATAATTAGTCATGATCATAGAAATCATTAACAAGGCACTTAAAAGTGCAACAGGCATTTTAACCGGCGGGAAAAGCAATAGAAAAATGTCAATATTATATGTGTTAAATAATACTGAAATTATTTAACCAATTATTTGAAAGTTTAGCAGAAGGAAGTTGATAAGTTTCTAACTGTAACTGACTCTGTAACTGACTGAACTGCATCTCAACAGTACTCCACTGCATCTCACCAGTCCGAGCAGTTCAAGCAGTCCAAGCTTTATCAGTCACAATAGCACTCTCTTTCATATGAGCTGCAGCAAAGGTCTCACAACTCATCTCCATTATCACAGCCAAAGGGAGAGTCAGCAGAGTCAGTATTGATATGTCCTCTATCACAGTCATGTGTTGCTAGTAGTTCTCAATATAATATATGTAACAGTTGTGAAGTTTGTTAAGTAGTTAGACGTGTTTGTTAGTGAGTTAGTTAGCTAGTTGTGTATATAATATCTTACTCTGTTGTACTCAAAAGAGTGTGAAATAAAAAGATATCTTCATCTTCTACATGGTATCAGAGCGAAGATTGGAAGATATAGAAGGAACATGTAAAAGATTGGAAAGAAGGAATGAAAAATGTGGTGTAGGAAGAATACCATTGCCAACATGCTGAATAGGCAAACCTGAGCAGTTTCCAACTTGAACTTGATCTGAACCCTGATAAGCTTGATATTGCTGAAAATTAGTCAAATCAGGTGTGAGGTGATTTGTGGCTACTGAGTCAATGTACCAAGGAGGCACAGTAGACATAGGAGAGTCTGTTGGTGATGAAGACACTGCTGCTGTATATGCTTTTGGGGTAGTAGGGGAAGTAGATTGATAAGTGGTATCATGTCTATACCAACAATCTAAAGCAATATGTCCTGATTTTCCACAAATCTGACACATAGATGCAGTAGTACCAGGATAATCTGATCTGAATCGATTGATAGAATTCGATTAGTTCTGTTTCCACCACGAAAATTATTTGGATATCTGCCACCTCTACTTCCTCGGTGCTGAGCTCTTCCTCTAAAATTATTGAAAGTAGTAGTGCGAGAATTTGAACCAAAGTTGAAGGATGGTGTATCAAAAACAGAACCAGAAGAAGAACCTTTGGTTGTGGAATAGGCAACATGCAACTCTTGATTAGATAAATGCTTGATTTTACTTTCAATATGAATTTCTTCTGATCCAAGTAGAGAACACAGTTCTTCCATAGACACGGAAGTAGATCGAGTTCGAATGGATGTTTTGAATGCATCATATTCATCTGGTAAGCATTTTAATGTGAGAAGAATTAGGTCTTCATCATCAACCTGTGCACCAGACAAAGCTAACTGATCTGAGACTGCTTTGATCTGGGACATATAACTGTCAATGGAGGAAGATTGTTTACGTATGGTGTGAAGTTTGTTCTTCAACTGATGAATATAAGATCTAGAGACAGATGTAAATCTCTGTTCAAGTGCTTTCCAGACTTGTGAGCAAGTTTGTAGATGAAGTAGAGGAATATATGGAAGGAGAAAGTGTTGCAATTAGACATGTGAGAAGATTTGCATCAATGGCTTCCCATTGAACATATGCAGGATTGAGAACTATTTTTCCAGATGCATCAGTAATTTCGGATGAAGGACAAGGTATTGCTCCAGTTACATAGCCCAAAAAACTAGTTGCTTGAAGAACGTTGTGAAGTTGATTTCGCTAGAGAAGAAAATTACTAACATCAGGTTTAACAGTGACAAGAGGACCAAAATTTGATAACAAAGAAGTAAGACTAGACGGTAGAGAAACAGGATCAGCCATGGATGAATCAGCATGAGCTGCCATGGATGAATCTGCTCGTAAGAGCTCTAAAGCTCTGATACCAGCTTGTACTGACTACTATATGTCTAAAAGTCATAGACTTCCCTTCAAATTGTCTTGTTCCTCTGTTGATAGTCCATTTTCTCTTATTCATGTTGATGTATGGGGACCTTTCACTGTTGATAATGCCCCATTTCGATTTTATGTTTTGTTTGTTGATGATTGTACAAGATTCACTTGGATCTATCCCTTGCATTTTAAGAGTGAAGTCTATGAAAAATTGCTAGGGTTTAAAGTCTATGCAGAAAATCAATTTCATACTTCTCTTAAAATTTTAAGAACTGATGGAGGTACTGAATTTGTTAACAAGAGAATTGCTGCTCTCTTCTCTTCCCATGGTATTATTCACCAGACAAGTTGTCCTTATACTCAAGCTCAGAATGGTGTGGCTGAAAGGAAGCATAGGCATATAACTGAAACTACCATTACTCTTCTTCACCAATCTTCTCTTCCTTTGAAATTTTGGTTTGATGCTGTAGCTACAGCTGTCTTTTTAATAAATAGAATGCCTAGTTCTATTCTTTCAAATAAATCTCCATTTCAGGTTCTTTTTAACACACTGCCAGATTTTTCCTTCTTCAAGGTCTTTGGTTGTCAATGCTTCCCTTGGTTGAAACCTTATACTACTCACAAGCTTCAACCTAAGTCTGTCTCATGTGTTTTCTTAGGCTATCATCCTACTGTTAAAGGATATAGATGCTTAGATCCTCTCAATGGAAAAATCTATCTCTCTAGACATGTTATCTTCAATGAAACATGTTTTCCCTATGCAACTACTGTGTCTTTATCTTCTTCTCCTTCTCTATCTTTGCCTCATCTTTATCAATTTTTTCTGGCCTTCTTCTACTTCATCTATATCTCAGATTCCCTCTTCTTCTCAGCCTTGTCCTTCACATTCTTCTTCCCAATCTCAGTCACCTCTTCTTTTACCTGTGTCTCAATCGTCATCATCTTCATCACAACAGTCCTCTTCATCTTATTACTATTGATCTTCCTCCTCCTTCTGCTCCAACTTCTTTCAATGTTCACCCTATGCTTACCAGGTCTAAGACAAAACCTCCTATTTGTCTTACTGCTGTATCAGATTCCTCTTATCTTCATTCTGAACCTCCAACTGTTGCAGCTGCTTTAGCCTCTCCTATGTGGCTTTCTGCTATGCAAGAAGAGTTCCAAGCTCTGCAACAACAATGTACTTGGGATCTTGTGTCTCTTCCTTCTCATAAAACTGCAATTGGATGTAAATGGGTGTACAGAATCAAACGTAATTATGATGGCTCTGTGGCTAGATACAAAGCCCGGTTGGTGGCTAAAGGCTACCTACAGCAAGAAGGAGTTGATTTTCATGAGACCTTCAGTCCCGTGGCAAAGCAACCCACCATTCGCATATTTCTATGTTTAGCTTTGCATTTTCAATGGCCTATTCATCAGTTAGACATTTCTAATGCCTTCCTTCATGGCACCTTTGATGAAGAAGTTTATATGCTTCAACCCCCCGGTTTTGTTCATGATTCTAACCAAGTTTGCAAGCTTAAGAAAGCTTTATATGGACTTAAACAAGCTTCTCGAGCTTGGTATTCTACCTTCTCTAAATTTCTTATCTCTCAGGGATTTATTAACAGTCACTCAGATTCTTCTCTATTTGTTCAGCATACCAATACCAGTCTTATCATTCTTGTTGTTTATGTTGATGACATCTTGGTTACTGGCAGTGATTCTTCTCTTCTTACTCAGTTTATTCATCACATGCATACTGTGTTTTCCATGAAGGAGTTAGGCCCTGTGTCCTATTTCTTGGGTATATCTGTTCAATCTTTACCTCATGGTTATTTCTTGTCTCAAACAAAATATGCCACTGAACTTCTTTATAAATCTGGTTTGACTAATTGCAAACCTTGTTCTACTCCTTTAGCTGTTAAACCTTCTTTTCCTGCTGTTGATGCACTTCCCTTTTCCAATCCTTCTCTTTACCGTAGCCTTGTTGGGGGTTTACAGTATCTTACCATTACTCGTCCTGACTTGGCTCTAGATGTTAATTAGGCCTGCCAGCACATGCATCTTCCTACCAATGCTGATTTTCAAGCTGTTAAACGCCTATTGAGATATGTGAAGGGTACTCTTCATCATGGGCTTCATTTTACTTCTGGCCCCTTTTCTCTTCATGACTTTTCAGATTCAAACTGGGCTAGTGATAATGTTGATCGTCGATCCACTTCAGGATACTGTGTCTATTTGGGTCCTAATTTGATTTCTTGGAGTGCTAAGAAACAATCTATTGTTTCTAGATCTTCAACTGAGGCCGAGTATAGGGCTTTGGCTAATGCTACTGCAGAACTTACATGGTTGCAACAACTTCTCAAAGACATGCACATCTCTGTTTCTTCTATTCCTGAGCTCTGGTGTGACAATCTATCTGCTATGGCCTTGGCTACTAATCCTGTTTTCCACTCTCGTTCTAAGCATATCGAAATTGATTGTCACTTTATTCGTGATAAGGTTGTTGCCAAGCTTATTAATTTGCAGTATGTGCCTACCACCGATTAGGTGGCTGACATTTTTCACCAAACCTCTTCCTACCTCTCACTTTCATTATTTGAAAGACAAGCTTCTTGTACTCCCTTGCCCTATCTGATAAGTTTCTAACTGTAACTGACTCAACTGCATCTCAATAGTACTCCACTGTATCTCACCAGTCTGAGCAGTTCAAGCAGTCCAAGCTTTATCAGTCACAGCAACTCTCTTTTTCATCTGAGCTGCAGCAAAGGGCTCACAACTCATCTCCATTATCACAGCCAAAGAGAGAGTCAGCAGAGTCAGCATTGATATGTCCTCTATCACAGTCATGTGTTGCTAGTAGTTCTCAATATAATATCTGTAACAGTTGTGAAGTTTGTTAAGTAGTTAGACGTGTTTGTTAGTGAGTCAGTTAGCTAGTTGTGTATATAATATCTTACTCTGTTGTACTCAAAAGAGTGTGAAATAAAAAGATATCTTCATCTTGTACAGAAGTAACTAGAAATGACAGGCTTCCAATAGAGCTCCTTATACTAAAAAGAACAGCTTTGCAAGATGGTTCATTATAGACATTTCATTGAGGTAAGACTATTGCCTTTGCCGCTAATATGGCTTTCATTAAACAAACAAGAAGTAATCATTAGTATCTTGCCTTTGTTGCTTACCAAAAAACATAGCAAACAGATAATTAATCACAGAAGATTTAGGTATTCTTCATGTTGAAAGATTGAATGCAGCAGCTTTAGATGTAACATGTTATGCATAATAGATTGATAATATGGTATCAAGAAGATCGAGCCTGCTTAGACAATGACATACATGCACAAACAAAATCCCAATAGACAACTCTACAATATAATTCTTCATTGGAACTCAAGAAATCAATAAACACGCATGGAGTAGAAACAAATTCAAATGCAACACAATTTACAGTTGTAAAAACCAATCACAATATTAAAAACCTACATAGCCCTTTCCATTTTTGTATCGCG